TATTTGAAACAATTAGAGACCCTAGAGCCGCCAGTTTTCTCTTTCAGCGCCTTAGTGTGGCGATCCAGAGAGGATATGCTCACTGCATCCATGGTTCCTGCCCGACATCTGAGGAGCTGGAGGAGCTCTACAACTTGTAACAAGTAGTCTTGTACCCTGCATGTAACCAATGTTTGTAACCCTTTTTTGTGTAATGACATTTTAGATCAAATAAGGTTATCTTGAGATGATTTCGGGGCTTAGCGTCCTCGCGGCCCGGTCCTCGATCAGGCCTCCTTTTTGTTACATATCCCCCAGGAAGCAGCCCGTAGCAGCTGTCTAACTCCCAGGTACCTATTTACTGCTAGGTAACAGGGGCATCAGGGTGAAAGAAACATTTTGCCCATTTGTCTGGGCCTCCACTCGGGATCGAACCCGGAACTTCAGGATATATATATATATATATATATATATATATATATATATATATATATATATATATATATATATATATATATATATATATATACGTTAAATAAAGGTTTTGTGGGATATACCCAGCCTATGAACTTTTTGAGTAACACAAAAAAAACAAAAATCCGCATTTAATTTCAATGTAATTACGGAAAAACAGGATTAAACTAAAAACAAAATATTAAAACAAGAGTTAATTTAATAAAACAAAGAGAACTTTAGCACCCTGCAACTGCTACACGTAATATAAAAGGACATTTAAAATCAAATAAAAATCAAACTCGATTCTAAAATAACGAAGTGCAAATATATATAGTACAAGTTACTGTTACATAGACCCTGATCAGTGCAGGTGTTGGGCTGACCAGCGAGCAAAGACGCCTGCCCTGGTGATTGATTGATAAAGATTAAGCCACCCAAGAGGTGGCACGGGCATGAATAGCCCGTAACCCCCTGCCCTGGGAGTCTGGTCTCCACATAAAGTCACCTCACTCGATACCCAGTAGTGCGGGGTGGCGTTAGTTGGGGGGTGCCACTGCTACTGGGTGGTGGCACCCAGTGCTGCAGCTGTTGCAACAGCTGCAGCTGAACCACACACACACTTGCAGCAACCGAAAATATGTTTGATTTCCTCCAAGCAGAATGAGTATCACTGAGATCTTTGGGTAAATGTAACTATGTTCTTCGGTCACAATAACCGCTGGTCGCCGTAGCTTCCTGTCACCGTTGCAGCAACAAGTACTCTCGTACCAAACAGCTTTACCCGTTACACTGAAATTTATCCCAATAAGCAAGTCATGCAGGTGGAGGACAAGCCTAGTCCGCGCGTCCGTTTGAGCGCCGCTCTCATCAAAAAACGGTAGCTATCCTTCGACCGGAGATTTGATGACGATTATGATATAAAGACAGCTACATCCTTCGTGCAAGAAATACAAGAATAAATGTTAAAAAAACTAGCATAACAGCCCGAGTCCTTCAATTTTCAGGCTATGAAGGATATCGTACCTCCTCTTTACGGTTCCTCTGGGTTTTTTCTCATAAAACTGCGTTCGCTGCAAGGTGGAGTTCACCTCGTTCATGAGACGAGAGAAAAACGAAACAAAATAATGAGACGCTAAAACTGGTGTAAATGTCTTGAAAACAGGTTTGAATTTCAAGGTAATAACATCATTGCCATCAATATATATGTATATATATATATATATATATATATATATATATATATATATATATATATATATATATATATATATATATATATGAGAAAGCTGCATGAACGCGCAAGCCATATATCACTAAGAACTGGGTTCGAATCCTGGCCGGGTGAAAGAGTTCCACTCCACTGCTTCCTTGGAGTGTGTGTGATACCTTAAGACCAACACATCGAGACTCGCGATATTCTACAGAACCAAACCTGAAACTTCGATGTTTTCTCTAAGTTCCACCAGAAAAAAAACGAACAAAAATACAAAATAAGATAACAAGAACGAGATGTATATGGGAAGAAAACATTGATATCATACAATGGGATTGAACTCTCCTTCCTTAACTCTCCAGACACACGCATTATACCGGCTCCTTTTTGAGAGCCATCATGGTGTAGTCGGTAGAGTGTATGCATCCAGGGGCGGCTCTAGCACTACGCGCGTCATCCACGAAACTAAAATAAACAGCAAATTACCATTATTTCCCATTTGACACGGGTGAGAAAGGTGCAGCCAACACCCCCTCACCACTGGCACACCCTCACCACTGGCACACCCCCACCACTGTGAGAGTCCTCAGCCTACCACAGGTGCCAGAGAGCGGGCCTCGTCTCACCCTTGATATAAAGTTACTGTACAGAAACATCCTAAGTATTACTACTTCTCTACAACGCCCAGTCCCAGTAACCTGAGAATTGTGATTATTATGAGAATTATGAGAATTATCCGAGATTCCTATGTGGCCCGTTTGCTGTGGTACCCGTGCTGGGCACCCTAGTTGTGGTGCATTTTCTGTGGTACTCTTTTTACTGTGGCAACATAGCTGTGATACCCCCCCCCCCCCCCTCGTTGTAATACCCTTTGCTGTAGCATCCTTAGCTGTGATTCCCACGCTGTGGTACTCTTGCTGGGGTTCCCCTTTGCTGTGGTACTCCTAGCAGTGGTTTTCTTGTTGTGGTTCCCTGGCTGTGTCAACGTAGCTGTGGTATTCTTGCTGTAGTACCCTTTCTGTGATTCCTTTCCTGTTGTACCCTTTCCGTGGCACCCATAGCTGTGGTATCCTTGCTGTGGTAGTCTTGTGGTGGCACCCTTGCTGTGGTACCCTAACTAAGACCATATAGCTGTGGTACCTCTGCTGTGGCGCCTTAGCTGTGGTATCCTTGCACAGTCACTCTTGCTGTGGTACCCTTGTTGTAACACCTTAGCTGTGGTATCGTTCGTGTGGTACTCTCGCTGCGGTACCCTTGCTGTAGTACCCCCATGGAACACCCAGGCCATGTGTGTGTACCTTAGAACGTGGTAACCCAAAGGGGGGCAGAAGTTATCCTTGTATATGAGTATCAGCGTTACATTACATCACTAACAACTGCACCCAGTCGCAAGAAAAAGAGCAGGATACCTTTAAACCTCCCCCCAATGCACCGTACCATAAGGCCTTCACAGATCATGACAAGACGAATGCCGCCTCGATAAGAATGAGTATAGGCTTCCTGTCCCCACCACCAGCGGAATATATTAGTTTTGCCAGTTTTTTGTAAATTGTTCCGTACTAAATGGTGGGGTTTACCTCGCTCGTTATCAGAGAAAACGTGCGATGGTAAATTAATTGTTTTCTAAACGTCCTTATTACAAGGTCGCCAGAGAGAGAGAGACACACACCCCCCTGGTATCTAACTGGGACTTCTAACCTCTCCTGGGGTTATAGTTCGAGTCCTGGAGGTATTATAGGTGATCGCCACGTGCAGTCATATACAACCACAATGGACTCAAGCTGTCCCCCAGGAGAGGTTGAAAAGTCTCAGTTGGACACCAGGGGTGTGTCTCTGGGACGCTGTCTTGTGGTCGGGAGTTCGAGGCTCCGATGGGGCAAGTGGATGGAAAATATCACGTAGGCTGACGGATGTGTGATCAGGAGGCCTCAGTCATTCAAGTTCTCAGCCATCTCACTCGATTTCAGAATTCTCATCCACTGGGGTCTTATTCATCTGGTGCTCATCCACCAGGGGTCTCATTCATCTGGCTCTTCTCCTCCGAGCACTAAGCACGAGGGCTCTCAACCTCCCATCAAGATCTTAGTCATTCATCCACCACTAGGCTCTCATCCACCATGTAGTCTCTCACCCACCCTGCAGGCTCGAACCCGCCCACCAGCCCCCGCCCACCTATCAGGTTTCAACCCACCAACCCACCAGCTTGCCTCACCCACCCTCACTGGCTGTGTGAAAAAAATTATGTGATCTTTAACGAAGCCTTGTGGACAGGCGACTGACAGGCGACTAGAGAGACAGGCAGGACAGCAACATCTCGTCATCACGGGATAACGAACGGATCACCAGTTCTGTCTCTCTTGAAGGACAGAGGGTATGGTGGCATTGTGTGTGTGTGTGTACTGGATGGTATGGTAAATGTTCTCTGATCACGCGTGGTCGAATGCTCAATAACTCATTGTACAATGAGTTATTGAGCAGTACACTCACCTGAGTGAGTGGGTGAGTGCCCAATAACTCGCTGCTCTATATGATATGTCGAACAGATCTCTAACCCTGTCCACGAAGGACAGGTTACTATTCTGGATTTAATATATATATTATATAACTGTATAACCGTGTATAATAAAGTGTACAACATAAAAAAATGGAGGTGGTAGGAGAAGTGAACACTCATACGTATTCAGAGTTAAATGGCAAGTTTTTTCTCTGAATGCTCTGTGTTCCTTTCTTTGAGGCTGTGGGTCCCTACAATATATATATATATATATATATATATATATATATATATATATATATATATATATATATATATATATATATATATATATATATATATATATATATATATATATATATATATATATATATATATATATATATATATATATATATATACCCAAAAAATAACAAAATTACAAGTTTTATTAATGATAATGCGATATTGGTGGGAGTGGGGTAGCAACAGCACAGTGTCAATAGACGATCATTCCCCTGACAGTGGTTCTGACCCGACCATGTTGTGCGTATTCCCAGCACAATTACTGTTAAAAACTGGGTGAGGCTAGCCCCAAGGGTCTGGCCTTCAGCCTCGGACAGACAGGCACAGATTTTAATTTATAGATATAGGCATGTGTGTGTGTGTGTGTGTGTGTGTGTGTGTGTGTGTGTGTGTGTGGTGTGTGTGTGTGTGTGTGTGTGTGTGTGTGTGTGTGTGTGTGTGTGTGTGTGTGTGTGTGTGTGTGTGTGTGTGTGTGGTGTGTGTGTGTGTGGGTGTGTGTGTGTGGTGGGTGTATGGGTACATGTGTGGATATGTAAACAAAGTCCAGTTGGCTCATACTGTGTGTGTTTGCAGGTGTTGGAGCAGGTGACCAGTCGAGCCCCGGCGACGACCTCAGCGATGTCCCAAGCTGTTCCCCCACCACCCACGTCCTCCCTCGCCCCTGCCTCCCCTTACCACCACCATCCAGTGAGGCGCCGCTCGCCGACGCTGCCCCCGGCCATCCACCACCACCAGGGGCGGCGCCCCACACTACAACAGCCCGGGAGACCCACTGGATCCGGCCTCTTGGTTACTGCGAGAAGCTCATGACCTCAGCTCATGTATACGGAATAATGAACACGTGCTACGCCCTATGGCTCGATGTTCGGAAGCCTCTTGACTTCGACCTCGTCAAACGTGCCACTAAAATTATGTACAGGTAAGGCTACGAGTCTGATTTATTTATTTTTTTATTTTTTTCACGTGGCTGCGTACAGGAGTAGATGATTTTTGTCTCCTATTAGCAGGCTGAGAGCCTTCTCTTCCCATAGGTCATGGGTAAGCCTTACCCCCTACTTGTTTTCCCTAGGACACGACCGCCAATCAGTTTTCAACCAGGGCCCCCTAACTGCTGCTGGGCAAACAAGGGGGTGAACATTTATGGAGTGGCACCCGGTCAATCCTCTCTGGTCAGGACTCCTGTCTCCAAGAGGGCAGAATTGACCCGGCACCAGCTATTGACACCACACTAACATCACCCACACTATTGACACCCAAACTAAGTATTGACACCACACTAACATCACCCACACTAGGTACTGACACCCACACTACCCCGCTGGACAGTAGATGTGAGTAAACTGGCAGGATTGTTGTGGTCGTGTAGAGGGCAGGACGCACCTCAGTGTAGAGGACAGGACGCACATAAGTGTAGAGGGCAGGACGCACCTCAGTGTAGAGGACAGGACCTACCTCAGTGTAGAGGACAGGACGCACCTCAGTGTAGAGGACAGGACCTACCTCAGTGTAGAGGGCAGGACGCACCTCAGTGTAGAGGACAGGACCTACCTCAGTGTAGAGGACAGGACGCGCCTCAGTGTAGAGGGCAGGACGCGCCTCAGTGTAGAGGATAGGACGCGCCTCAGTGTAGGCTGACTTATTTTCCAAGCATATTCCCGCGCTGGGCCTGAGCCTCTGGCTGGCCGACCGTGTGACACACATGTCAGTCTAACTTGGTCGGTGGATGAGCCTTTACGACTCGTATGCTCACTCAGATAAGTAAAAGACCAATGAGCTTAACAACTATTAATCTCAGCGGTAATCACATTTGCTTTGTATAACTCTTGCGCTGCATTGCATAACGTCCCAGTGTGCGCGCGCGCGTGTATGTGTGCGTGTGTATGTGAGTGTGTGTGTGTGTGTGTGTGTCGGGCATTTCTCCACAGTGGTGACATTTCCTCTCTTCTTGCCTGCCTGCCTGCCCTGCACATGGGCATCCATGCCTAATGCGACACACGTGTGTGCATTTCTACTCATCTGTTCTTCCCTTTCACCACCACAAGTGACTTACACTTATCTTGAGACGATTTCGGGGCTTTTAGTGTCCCCGCGGCCCGGCCCTCGACCAGGCCTTCACCCCCAGGAAGCAGCCCGTGACAGCTGACTAACACCCAGGTACCTATTTTACTGCTAGGTAACAGGGGCATAGGGTGAAAGAAACTCTGCCCATTGTTTCTCGCCGGCGCCCGGGATCGAACCCGGGACCACAGGATCACAAGTCCAGCGTGCTGTCCGCTCGGCCGACCGGCTCCCAAAGTCCCACTTGGCTGAAGTCCTGTACCAACCCGCAGCTCCCGGCTCCCGGTGTAGCGGCCGCTTGTTATTATCTCAATGTGAGCTAGATTTTGTGATCCACTAACCTGTTCTTGGTTCCGGGAATCAGCGTCCCTGTCTCCCGAGTTTCTGGCCAGGCCTCCTGGTTGGTGGTCTGAGCAACTAGGCTGTGGTAGACGCCCACTGCTCGCAGTCTGGCGTGAGAACCACAGCCCTGTTGTTCAAGTATCCTTTGGAGATGTTTATCAAGTTTTCTTTTGAACACGTTAAGATCATTAGGCAAATAACGAAGATTCGCGCTAGAATCATTGATCTTGTCTTTTCTGCCATATTCAGTAATACATGTCCATAAGAAAGACTCCTACTACCAGTAATATATATATATATATATATATATATATATATATATATATATATATATATATATATATATATATATATATATATATATAATGTTTTACCTAGTAGGCAGATCGCAGTACTCGGCCTAGTATGCAAACCCCGATTAATAATCCTAATTAGGCAAGCCCCTTGCCTAATAAGCCAAGTTTTCCTGAATTTATATATTCTAATTTTTTTCTTATGAAATGATAAAGCTATCCATTTCATCATGTATCAGTTAATTATTTTTAGTTTGAGTTAAAACTAACGTTGATATATGACCGAACCTAACCTACCCTACCTAACCTAACCTATCTTAACCTATCATAAAGTAGCGTAACTAAGTCAATAATTTGGGTTCTTAATATAATATAACAATACTAATTCAAATTAACCAATTGGAAACAATTTTTGAAAATAAAGACAATCACTCGGCCTATTAGGCAAATCGGGCCTTGCACAGTAGGCCGAGAAGTGCGTTCTGGCTACTATAGGTACGACATATATATATTATTATATAACACAGATTGAATATATCTGAATATATTAAAGCAGCACTGTGACGTAACTGAACAAGTTGACCGAGAAAGGAGCCAGAGCGTTGTGAGAGGAAGGATTAATTCTGGCAGCGTGTGTGTGCTCCTTATACACTGACATGCTTTCACACGGTGGCGGCGGCGTCCGGGGCTGAGACATGGACCAGGCCGAGAGTGAGAGTGATGTCCCAGCCTACTGGGGACGCTGACGGGATACATATATATATATGTAACCTCCTTCACGCACCCCTTCTAACTCACTAGGACCAGCACCTACCTCATCAGGCAGGCGTTAACTCATCACAGAGGACATATACCTCATCCTGCAGGACTCATCACCACACTCCGCAAGACCGATGCAGACGCTTGCGCGGCCGCATAGACGGAGAGGCGAATTGCTCAATACATATAAGGATGAGGGGGCTGGGGGAGTGGGCTTAGGGTAGGGGAGGGCTTAGGAGGCAGGGAACATTGGGTGGGGGCGGGCTTAGGACTTGGGGTTGGGGGAAGGAGGAGGAGGGGGACTTGCAGTTTGGAGGAGGGGAAGGAGGAGGAGGAGTGGGGACGTGCGGTGAGGGGGGGGGGATAGGAGGAAGGTAATGGGTGTTGAGTAGTAACACTGTCTACAGCAGGAGGAGGGAGGCGGGGCGTGCCTGGATTGTCGGATGAATGAACACTCCTTGTGTTCATCTGCGACAGGTGTGTGACACACTCACCTGGTTGTATGGAGGCTACAGGTGTGTGACACACTCACCAGGTTGTCTAGAGGCTACAGGTGTACAAACATACAACTGTCTCCGTCAACAGTACACGAGCATAGAATCATCTTACCTTCTGCTTCGCCAGAAATCAGTCATCTTGCAGAACTTTCCTGGTGCGGGAAATTAACTTCCACTCTTGTTTGACACATGTTGGCAGGGTGTTGGTAGTGTGGGGGGCCAGGGTGAGGGTAGTGTGGGGCCAGGGTGTGGGTAGTGGGGGGCCAGGGTGAGGGTAGTGGGGGGCCAGGGTGAGGGTAGTGTGGGGCCAGGGTGAGGGTAGTGTGGGGCCAGGGTGTGGGTAGTGGGGGGCCAGGGTGAGGGTAGTGGGGGGCCAGGGTGAGGGTAGTGTGGGGCCAGGGTGTGGGTAGTGTGACTAGACACGCCACACCGTGACAAGGACCAGACACGCCCGGACGGAGTTCAATAAGAACACACTTCAAAGCACAAAATTGAGGAAGCCAAAGTCCTCTTCTTGGGGACAGGAAGCCTGTACCTAGGTTTCTCGACGTCTCCCCCAGGCTAGAAGCTGACCTTTCCCCGGGACGCAGCCCACGAGAGGGGCCTAACTGGCGGTCACCTACGTTACTGCTACGTGAACAGTAACATCAGGTGAAAGGAAAGGTGTTGTGAGCAGAGGACGAAGACCACAGCGCTACAGGAGAGATTGACGTACATCTTAAGGAGTTCACAAAGACACCAAAGGTTTCCTGGAGAGAATATAGCTACACCTGGGCAGGTGTTGAGTGTCTGACTCGTCGTTGTGAGCAGACTGTTAGGGTCTGCTGTTTGTTTGATTGTCAGGGTCTGCTGCTTGTTTGACTGTCAAGGTCTGCCTCTTGCTTGACTGTCAAGGTCTGCCTCTTGTTTGACTGTCAAGGTCTGCCTCTTGTTTGACTGTCAGGGTCTGCTTCTTGTTTGACTGTCAAGGTCTGCCTCTTGTTTGACTGTCAAGATCTGCCTCTTGTTTGACTGTCAAGGTCTGCCTCTTGTTTGACTGTCAGGGTCTGCCTCTTGTTTGACTGTCAGGGTCTGCTTCTTGTTTGACTGTCAAGGTCTGCCTCTTGTTTGACTGTCAAGTTCTGCTTCTTGTTTGACTGTCAGGGTCTGCTGCTTGTTTGACTGTCAAGGTCTGCCTCTTGACTGCCAGGGTCTGCCTCTTGACTGCCAGTGCTTGCCTCTTGTTTAATCCAAGTCATAGTTTGTGCAATCAAAGCAAGAGGAATTTATATATGAACTTGCGGGAGGTCACCAGCACCACACTCCCTGCAGGGCAACAGCGCGCAACACAGCGACCTGTGCTGCACAGGGTCATCAATGCAGTGCCAGGTCTCCTCTTGGGCGGAGGAATGAGGAAGAAGCAGCAAGGACGCCCATCAACGCCTTGAAGGAGGTCGCTCGGGATCACCAATTAGACCTCACCAGCTGAGGATGTGATCAACCAGACTTTGATGAATTGCACGTTGGGCGTTGGACTTACAACGAGTCCATAGAGTTCACTTGCCTATTTAATAATTATATAAAGAGAGATCCAAGTCTCTGTGCCAGTTACGTCAACACTTACGAAACCTGTATATCTTTCCATGATCATCTTAGGCTTTGTTTACATTTATTTAGCAGTTTATGAAACCCCCAGAGCGCCGTGACGTTGTTTATAGCAATAATAACCTTGGGTTGTGAAGTGTCTGAGCTCTTTAATTATTAAAAGTGTAAACAAAGGCGCCATGAGTGTTGAGAGATGTAAAGGTTTCGCAAGCAGATGCTACGAGGACACGAGTGACTATAAGCTGGAGAAGACAGTTTCGTCAATAAGAAGCACGACTTAAAACACTCGAGAAAATTACCATAATTTATAATGCTATTTAGTATTTATCCTTCAAATACTAAATGTATATATATACATCTTCTGTCCTCCATGGACAGGGTTAGAGATCTGTTAAACATATAGTTCAGTGATGTATATAATCATATATAATCAACCACAAGGTGATTGTAGTGCTTACAAAATTCTTATCTAACCTATATACATAAAATACACAGATTTACGTCTGTCCTACATAAGGTGTTCGGTGTGTCTTTTTTTACATAATGGCATTAATGTGCGTTTACAAAGTTGAAATGCAATTCTGACCACATATCATATATACACACTCATACATTATACATACATATATATACATATATATATATATATATATATATATGTACATACATAGTAGTGATAGGCATCCAGAGAAGCTGTGGTTCCAGCGCCGTCGCAGGAGCTGCCAGAACGAGGTTGAAGTCAACAACGAACTGCTTTAACTTAAGCTTAAACTCCGGATTTCTCCTCGAAGTTGACTCCTGAAGCCCGTCCTAAACGTGGGTATGGCCGCGAGGCTGCGGAGGTTTGACGTCAGGGTTTTCCTTGTATATGTATGTATACATACATATACATACGTACATATAATAATAATAATAATTGTAATTACTCATTATTACTCTTCCTTCAGCTGGGTCATGAAGGAAGCCGGCCTCGGGGTGAAAGAGGGCTGTGACGATCTCTGTCTGGAACCCGTAGGTGCGGGACCGGGCCGTCCACCTCCTGGGGCTCGTGCGGGCCAGGCTCTGCTTCAGGAGGCTGGGGTCGTTCTTGCCCTTGATGGGGTGGTGCTGCTTCTCCGGCCCCGACCACGACGGTCTCCGGGTTTGGAGTCCCTGTGTCCTCTTTTACCAACTTCGAGGTCAACTCCGGAGCTGGAGTCCCTGGGGCAGTTCGTTGTTGCCTTCAACATGGTTCTAACAGTTCCTACGACGGCGCTTGAACCAATCGTATTGGTGTTTGCCTTTCCATTGAAAACTTTAGGCGCCGTGGAAAGGGAGGGGGGACCTGCTGCATGGGTGACAGCTTCTCCCCCATATCAACCTTCCCTGGGTTTGCGCCCTGGCGAGGCCACTCCAGACCGACAATCAGAGCGCAACTCCATAGTCTCCTTTTTTGCAGGGATATTCCTGCGCGGGCCCTAAGCCTCTGGCTGGCCCACTCCATAGTCTTCTGAGACTGATGGATGCCTATTACTACATACATATACATATATACATCTATATACATATACATATATATACACATATACACACATATGCACATATACGCACATACAATTATGTCTCTCCTACGTTGACAAGATAAGATAGCTGCTATAGAAACTAGTGTGTTAATAAGCACTTAACCACTGAAGATGATTTAGGAGCTTTTACAAGCTCAGGTTATAGTTACATCACATTGTATACCTGATGTATAACATAGTCAATTGTACAAGTCCACTATATCAAGTGTTCCACTATTCATATAGTATATACAGAGTTCAGCATATCTCAGCCCGGGAGAGCGAAAGTCAGTCAATATGGGACATTCTACAATATAATGTTCAAGAGAGTGCATGTTTTTCTCTTTCACAAAGTTGACACATTGTGTACTCGACATTTGGGTTTTGAGAGAGCTGCCAGATACGTCTATATCCCAGGCGTATTCTGGCCACTATAACATCACATTGCCGAGTTCTTGCTCTATTAGTCCCATATGTGAATGTCTCCTCACAATATTTATCATAATGTTTAATGCTACAACTTTCAGGTCTTTGTGAATTTGTTAGGTAAGTAAGATTTCCATTAGATATTTGTTTAAGTATTCTCTTTGTCACTGCTAATGAAACACCCATAGCAATTTCTACTACTGATCTACTACAGTCTGTCTTTGCAAGCATATCAGTGTCATGCTCTGAGATACCAACATGTGATGGTATCCAAAGGAATTTAATTTCAAATCTGTTTTCTTTTAGTTAAAACATTCTTTAGCTAAAACATTCATTCGTATATTACTTACTATTTTCTGGATGTTACTACTATGTGCGTTCAATGCCAGGACTGAACTCTGCGAGGCACAGTATATAAGTCCACTCCCTTTGTTGACCAGACCACACACTAGAAGGTGAAGGGACGACGACGTTTCGGTCCGTCCTGGACCATTTTCAAGTCGATTGTCACTCCCTTTGTCTTTTAATATTTCAGTGACAGGTATATGCCTGCAATATATGTTCGGTTTGAGTTGTACTTGCCCAATTATTGACGCGCTTCATTGCTGTATGTACGAAAGAAGATTGTTTATATATAAAAGCTGTGATGGTTGTCATCCTCGCTAACACATTTGCTACATTCTAATCAAATTGACCACATACCTGTATATTTAGGTAATGTGAACAACTTTCCCAATTACTGTGTTGCGGAAGAATGAGAAAAACCCTTCATCTCAAGAAAGGTTGCAATCATCGTGATATATTCATAAAACGTTATTTCTTCACGTATTTCATAATGCTCGATTTTTTTTTTACGTGAATATTGAAAGAATTATCATTCTGTCACAATAATTCTGAGCCAATATAGACGGGGAGAGTTCCCAGCGGACTACTAGACGATGACCATGCTTCTGTTGCAGGAAAATGCCGCACGTGCAGCTGGGAGTTGGTCGACACTTGGGAGCGTTGTGGTGGCGCAAGATGGCGTCTCCCGCGCTCGACGTCGACGAGCTCACCACGGATGACGTGATGGCGGCCTTCGAGGAGCTCCTCCGTCACCGGTACAGCCTGGAGGGCCCGCTGTGGTTCCTGCGGCTAGTCACACCGGAGGGGAAGAGTGTGCTAGATGAGACTGCTGGCCACAGTCACAAATACGTGTGCATCTTCGGCTTCCACCACAGCGTGAGCGACGGGACTACCAACATGCAGTTCTGTAAGGTGTTCGTCCAGGTGCTCGACGACCTTCTCCAAGGAAGAGACGTCGATATGTGCTCGGAGGGACGTTTTGCCGAGCCATTCCACGATATTTTGGCTGACGCTGCTACCTCTCACCTCTCCCTCCTCTCCCTATTCCTAAGTCGATTTTATAAAGGAATTTTAAGCTACGGTGCTTATGTTCGTAACTTTACGCGCCTGTTTCCCATGCCCACCCACAAGGTGGCGGAAACTCACATACTGCACTATGAGCTCGAGGAGACGACCTCCAAGAAGCTGTATCTTCGCTGTAAGATGGAGGGAGTGACACTCAACTCAGCCTTCACCGCCGCGGCCAACCTGGCCCTCTACCTGCTCATGTCCGCCAGGGGACACTCACTTAAGGCTACACAAATTAACTGCGTGCAAGTCGTCAACATGCGACGCTATTGGCCGAAACCATTGCAACCCAACACGTTCGGATGCAACATCTCGATATTAGACTTGGATTTCCAAACGGAAGAAAAGAATCTGGAGGAGTTCTGGGAGTACAGCCGGCTGGTTCACTCCAATATATCCCACCACCTCACGGTCACTCAGCGGGCCCTCACCGTCCAGCCCATCAGCGAGAGGCTCAAACTAGTGATTGGCAGCAACTTCTGGTTGTCCCGGCTGGGTCTGCCCTCCACCAACAACCACCACTACTGCCTGACCAACATGGGCAACCTGAGAACCGCCTTCCCCGGCACCGGCGACGAGGTGCAGGTGTCCAAGGTGCTTCGCTCTGTCTCCTGCCACTTTATGCCCACACTCTGCCAACACACACTCCAAACCTTCCGTGGACGCCTCTGCTACTCCCTCGACTATTACACTCAGAAAATGACGAGAGAAACCGCTTCCCAATACGCTGAGGAGATCCTCAGGGTCCTCACTTCGTCTATCCACGCGCCCAACTGAGCCTCAGCGGACATCTTCCCTACTAAATGGTTTTGTTGCTGTGACTTGAGAACGGTTCTCGTAACGTGGGTGAAATGATCAACATCACATCCTGTTTTATTTTGTGGGACAAATTCATGCTAAATATCATATCATGCTAAAATATTAGTTAGCATTAGTTAATGTTGAGTATCTCGTATAATAACGAGCCATATACTTGTTCCGCCGACAGACCCAGCTGGGTGCACCTCCAACAGACCCAGCTGAGGCGTCGCTTCCCCTCATAATTAAGGCCTCCAGCCAGCCTCGCTTCCCCATGGGAAACTCTTGAAAGGTTTCCTTGTGTCATAACAACGTATTTGGGTCTTCCGCTGCTCGAGTTCCACTACAGATTATCTCTTATGTGATGTTTCCTCAGCATCCCTGTAACGTCATCTCCGGTCCACCCGTACTGTTACTTCAACCCGTTACATCTCACAAAACCCACGTTATGAACTATTAATATTATAAAAGTTGGCCTAAGATTGCGCGTGTTAGGGACTACGATTGCTTACGTATACTCCAAGTCCACTACGGGCTCGCCATAGCCCGTGCTACTTTGGAACTTTGTTCCAAGTAGTTGAATCTATAACAACAACAACAACATGTATGCCTCTAACAGGTTAAGTTAGGTTGATGGCTAGGATGTTGCAGTTATGATATAGTATAACAAGAGTATTAAAGTTAGTCTTTTGCTATATATCGAGAATTGCAATAAAATCTAGAAGACTTGAGATAAAAGTGAAATTTACACCAGGTATTCCATCCATCATCATTCAGTAAGATCAGCAGACTTCTTGAGGTTACTGCTGCTAGCCTTTGGCTCGTCTACAAGTACCTCTGGGAGTCTGCACCATCTGCTGAAGATGATCTGACCAAAGTTCACTCACCTGGGCTCTTAGGAGACTCGAACCCTGGACCCCCTCGCCCGTCTGAGTCACTGACCAAATGTAAACATTGTCAGCAGAACACTACGTCACTCTGTTATTGAATGTAAACAAAATCTCGGATTTCAGAGATAACTATTCCAGATGTTCAAGATGTTTGTCCTTCATTCAAAATGAAATACTACCAGATATCTTAGCCAGCCTTTTTCCCTACCCTCCCTTCCTAAGGGAGCCGGTCGGCCGAGCGGACAGCACGCTGGACTTGTGATCCTGTGGTCCTGGGTTCGATCCCAGGCGCCGGCGAGAAACAATGGGCAGAGTTTCTTTCACCCTATGCCCCTGTTACCTAGCAGTAAAATAGGTACCTGGGTGTTAGTCAGCTGTCACGGGCTGCTTCCTGGGGGTGGAGGCCTGGTCGAGGACCGGGCCGCGGGGACACTAAAGCCTCGAAATCATCTCAAGATAACCCTTTTTCTATCCCTTACTATTAAATCTGCCTCTACATTATAGAATAGAACATGTGATAGAATATTCTTTTATAGATAGAATATTTTCTATATTCATATCTTTTCTCTTATTCCTTCCATTAATTTTATTCTTACGTTTTCTGTTAGTCTTATTTTTTTCTCTTATTCGTTCCTTTCATCTTATTTTTACCTTTCGTCTTTGTTTTTCATCTAATTCTTACCTTTTATCTTATTCTTTCTTATCTTCGTCTCTCTCTTACCTCCTCTCACCTTTCCTCTCACTCTCATCCTACTGTTGTCTCTGCTGTTTTCTCTCTTTCCTTACTTGGGGCTGGACGGTAGAGCGACGGTCTCGCTTCATGCAGGTCGGCGTTCAATCCCCCGACCGTCCACAAGTGGTTGAGCACCATTCCTCCCCCCCCCCTCCCCCGACCCATCCCAAATCCTTATCCTGACACCCCCCCCCCCCTTTCCAAGTGCTATATAGTCGTAGTGGTTTGGCGCTTTCCCCTGAAAATTCCCTCTGCCACTTTCTATCCTTCCGGGCTATTCAGGCCCGTGCCACTACCTCTTGGGTGGCATCACTCTCGTTCCATTTCACAACTTGACGAAGAAGAGTTCAGGATGGACTGAAACATCGTCGTTTCAGTCGACGAATCTTCATTTTCAGTCGTAACTTGGGATACCAATTACTGTGACTTATCATGTCTGAAACTGTCCAAAATGTGCCCCCACACAGTCGGTATAAGACACGATCATGACTGCACACGGTCGCCGCTAACTGGAGGAGATGTGTATGGTGTGTGATTAGTAATTGTGATGCTGGTTCACCACAGATGTAAGTTGTGAAGCTTAAATTAAATTGGGAAACTGTTGTGAACCGGTTCTTGGTCCAAGTGTGCTGGGATCAACAACTGTGTATATTCCCTATATAATAAACTGTATGTCTGATACAGTAAACATTGTATAGTTTTGATACAATAAACATTGTGTATCTCTGATAACAACAAACAGTGTATCTCTCTGATAACAATAAACAGTGTATATCTCTGATAACAACAAACAGTGTATCTCTCTGATAACAATAAACAGTGTTCCAAGAGAAGCAGACCTGAACACACTCAGCATTGGTATCACTCCTCCCCTAATACACCAACTCTCCTGTTGTATATTAATACCTCCTGGTGTATAGTTACAAAAAAATACATACATCATAAAACACTCAAAAGATCAAGGAAAAATAATTACAAATAAAACAAAAGAAGTAACATAAACCAAAATTGTCTTCATTATCCTTCCCGGGAATAAAGAGTGATAAAGGCGCATTTCTATTAGAAATCAAGGCGCGGGAGATTTCAACTCGACGCAGGTAGTAATCCCCAGTATTATTAAGGCGCACCCGCGGGGCTCTTGAAACTTTCGTCCCTATCCAAAATGTCCCTGGTTGATACCTGGTTGATACCTGGTTGATGGGGTTCTGGGAGTTCTTCTACTCCCCAAGCCCGGCCCGAGGCCAGGCTCGACTTGTGAGAGTTTGGTCCACCAGGCTGTTGCTTGGAGCGGCCCGCAGGCCCACATACCCACCACAGCCCGGTTGGTCCGGCACTCCTTGGAGGAATAAATCTAGTTTCCTCTTGAAAATGTCCACGGTTGTTCCGGCAATATTTCTTATGCTTGCTGGGAGGACGTTGAACAACCCTATCCCTTAGCATTGTCGGCAAGTGTGCTGCATCTGTCCACAAGTTTACGAGACTTAAGACATTTCCCATATCGTCACCACACTAAACCCAAGACCATTAGTCTGAACAACACAGCACAACACAGCCCACAGAGCAGGACCCGCAGCGGCCGAAGGATGTGCCTGGCGCTGATCACAGCCGTGCCCCTAATCACAGAGACACAGTCCTTGGGAGAGCAGTCGTCCCGAAACGTCCTTCCGGGGGAGGGGAAGGGGGGGCGGGGGAAGGATGGATGGATGCCGGTCAAACGACGTTGATTATATAACGCTGAGAAACGTTAATCCTGCGTTGATTTACCGTTGAGATTCCATCGTCCACGCGGTGGTCGAGTTCGCACGGTGCCAAATACTAACGCAAACACAGCCTCACAAGTAACGGTAACGACTGCCATGCTAAACGCTTCTGCAAACATGCGCCTTCCTATTGCAAACGTTGCAGCAGTGTGACAAAACTTGTGAGGAGTATAATTGCAGAGACAAAGAAGGATATGGTTCCATATACATTCTAGTGACACAAGATCTTACCACCGGTACCCGTCTCGTTGCCCTCACCTTGAGAAGTAGGGAAAGGACAGGGGGAGGAGGAAGAGACGACTGAGAGACAGGGAGGAGGTGGCCAGTGAGGGGTGAAAGTACCAAGGAAGGGGGGAGGGGGGAAGTGTGAGGAATGGTGGGGTGGGGGGGAGGAGGAAGGAGGAGAACGCATGATTGCCAGGAGGGGGAAGCAGTCAAGGACGCACGTGTTAGGTTAGTGTTGTTGTCACAGATGTTGTCACAGGAACTACCACAGGTGTTCGATGGTGATGTCATTAATGTCGTCACAGATGTAGTCAAGACTGGGAGTCGTCACCAGTCTCCAGGCAAGAAGTGGTGTACACACACATTATGACCGCCAAACTACACAGCAGAAGATGAAGAACCGACGACGCTTCGGTCCGTCCTGGACCATTATCAGGTCGTTGTGGTCTACACATTTAGCTGCTCGTTTGACTAGTGTGTGTGTGTGTCCAGCTGGAGGAGCAGGGGAGCTGGAACACGTGTCCCACCTACACCACCTGTCACCCGTCACCTACCCGTCCACCTCTGTCACTGTGACTCGCAGAGTCACAGTGACAGAGGTGGCCTTAAATGCACATAGAATTTGCATTTGCATAGAGGCCTGCATTTAAGGCCTCTTGGCTTTAAATAGACATAGAAGCAATACCTAGAAAATACTCAGTGATATTCGAATGATTATTTTAGCTGCTAAAGAAAACTGATTTGAAATTTCTTTGGATACCATCATATGTTGGCATCTCAAAACATGATACCGTTGATATGCTTGCAAAGACAGCCTGTAGTAGGCCAGTAGAAAGGAATATGGGAGTTGCATTAGCAGTGACAAAGAAAATACAGTACTTAAATGTCTGATCAAAATTTTACTGAGCTAACACATTCACAAGGACGTGAAAGCTGCAGCATTAAACATTATGATGATTACTGAGAGGAGGCATTTATATATGGAACTAACAGAGTTTCAATAGCAGCTATCTTACCGTGTCAAAGTAGGAGAGGCAAATATACATGTAATATATACATATATAATATATACATATGCATATTATATATATTATATTATATATATTAGTCGTAAATGTATGTATTTATGTATAAAGGTTGTAAAATGTAAAGTGGCAATGTCACTACGGTCATCTTCTGTGGTTGATCGTTGAAATAAATCACTGAACTATATGTTTAACAGATCTCTAACACTGTCCATGGAGGACAGAAGTAATTTGATGATTATATATGTATAATCATCAAGTATATATGAAGTATATATGATGATTAGCATTCTAAATGTGTGACCACGTCTGTGGTAGAAAATAATAATACACAGAGAGTAATCACACTGTCACACACAGTGACGGAGGAAGAGTGCATGTAAGGGGGGGTGGGGGGGGGATTGTGTGAAACTCTGGTTCAGCTTTGGTTGAAGCCTCAGGAACCCCAGAGGGTGCAGTAGTACCACAGGTTGCTATTCTTTTAACCATGTCGTGACCCGGTTGTCTAGAGCGTGTGTCTGGGAACACGCAGCGCAAGGTTCGAGCCCTCATCACGGCTCCTACGGATTTGCTCAATAATAATAATAATAATTAAAAGCACCACCTCTGAACACCACCCTGGTACCATCCGTCACCTAACTGTCCGAACCAACTACCTCTAAAATTACCCGTCTATGTCGGACATCCACCCCCCCCCCACCCACCTCAAAGTTCCTGTCCAAGTCAGCCCTAACTGGCTACCTTTTCTGTTTATGTAAGTCCTCACCCGTCATATTTTCCGTCAACTCCAGTCACCAACTATCAAACTCCCCCGTCAACAACACTTATCAATAACGGTGAAAGTTCGAGACGGACTCGATTTTGGGACAAAGCAACTGTTCCATTTTTTTTACACACGTTTTTGTTCGTCTAATTAAAATAAACGAGGAAGATATCAACAGTGTAGAGATGTTGTGCTCAGTGACGTGACCCGTTGGTGCTCAGGATAATTGCAGGAGAAAATGTGTGTATACGAGGATGAACTTGATTCCCTTCAGCAAGGTGATGAGAGCCACACGGGACTCCTTGTGTGTGTGGAGCTCTCTCTCTCTCTCTCTCTCTCTCTCTCTCTCTCTCCAGCAGCTGGACATCCTCAGAAATATTATCAAGCGGTATCCTCCCCCGCGATAGCAGCCACATAGTAAGGACTGACGACTTAAATGCGAGCACAGCACACAGTATATCCTCTCACCACCAAAGATCACATTCACTAACATAAAAAATCTACCACTTACGGGCTATTTATGTTCGTGCCACCTCTTGGGTGGCTTAATATTCATCAATCAATCAATCAATCTCTCACTCTCTACTGTATTTCTTCCCCCGGGTAACATAACAGACGTAAGACCCCCCCTTCATTGTTTCAAGCGTAGGGTCGACATGAGTTTGGGTGGAAATAAATATGAGCTGCCATGTGTAGGCCAATAGGCCTTCTACAGTTTCCTTGAGTCTTATCTTTTTATGAAAATACTTCATCTGAGGGAATTGTATTTCAATATGGACAAACAACATCCTCGAGAGAAACAGTTAAGTGGTGCCACGAGACAC